GTCATGTTTGCGCGTTGAAATTGTTTAGCACACCTTTTTTGTAACGGACTGTCGATTACACTGTTACACCGCCAAAAATCGCTGTTTTTCACCTACATAACCTCACTTTCTTGAAAATCCTGACGTGTTAGAGCAAAATGGGGCCTTGTTTCGATTTTAGCTACCCAAAATCTATAAAAATCGTCTACTGCGGTCCCGGTTGCTCTCCGAAAAATTTTTTTTGTGGTCTTGTGTTATTTACTGGCGAAGTTAATGTTACTTATTCGGTTAAAATAATTACATTTTAATGTGTAATTGATCATTAACAAATAACATTACTACGAGATTTTTATAACAATAAATTATTTAAAGGAACTGTCGTGTGAGCTACGGAGATGCAGTTGTAGGTTATGTCTAACTAAGATGTGAAGGAGATCTCTGCATTGTGAAATGTCGAGTATAGACCTTTGCATAATGTCAGGCAACAGGCAATAGGAACAGGAAATAACAAAAAATACGTTAATTACAACCTAAAAAACTCGAATGCTATGATTGATTGCCAACAGGCAAGCACAGAATTTTCAACGTGACGGAAACTCTATGTCTATTTTGCCTGTGTAACTGCTTATTCTGCACTTATACATGATTTCTGATTTCTGTTCCTTGTTCCTATTGCCTGTTGCCTGGCATTGTGCAAGGGCCTTATGTCCTGAACATAAGGTTCGGAGCATGGTCTTCACAGCAAGAGAAGTTCGATTTGCTGTTTTTGAGGTTGTCTCTCCGAACGGCATTAAACCACTTTTGACAAAGTTTCACGTCTTGTGGCACTGTCGCGAACACTTTATTTGATGTACTTTTGATTGTACTACCAGAGAGAGGGACGAAACACGTCCTATACGTTTTAATTATTGCCATTTCTATTAAAAGATCGAAATCTCAATAGATATCGTATACGGCATATAACATTGTGACGTCACAAACCGCTCGGGTAACTTCGGGCGTGATCGGCGCGTCATTAGCTATGAGTTTGAAGTAATATTTTATAAAACCTATATCTCCGTTAATATTACGAAAGAAAAAAAAAACTTTTTTTTATAAAACATATGCATATAAACTTTTTAAATATATAAAAAAAATTACGTTCAAAAACCCAATTGAATGTGATTGGTTTTTACTTATAAATCCAACTAATTACCCATTAGTTAAAAGATTGGTGATTCGTCAGAGAAACTCGTTACATGAAAATTAGTAAAAGGTGAAAATAAAATAATTTCTTTTGCAAATTGGTAATTAGTAGAAATAAATTTTTTTTCACAACATTTTCACGGAAAGTTCGACTTTCCATGCCTGTAGAGAGGGGCAAAAGTGACCAATTTTACACCAGGACGGCATTGGAAAGTGGCCACTTTCGTCCCGCTATGCCGTCCTGGCGTGAAATGGTCACTCTCGCTTCTCTCTAGGCATGGAGGTCGAACTTTCCGTATAGATATTGTGAAAAATATCGTGTGCACCTCGGGGCGAAAACTTTTTCAGACTCGTGTGATTTGCCGCCCGAGCCGAAGGCCGAAGGCTTGGGCGGCAAACTTCACACTCGTCTGAAAAACGCTACTTTCGCCCCTTGGTGCACAATATACTATATTATTAAAATAATTAATGATTTGTCAAAAACATATATTACTAATTTAAAAATTAATGATTAGTGGAATAGTATATTGTGCACCAAGAGGCGAAAATAGCGTTTTTTAGACGAGTGTGAAGTTTGCCGCTTTTGCCTTTGGCTCGGGCGGCAAATCACACGAGTCTGAAAAAGCTTTCGCCCCGAGGTGCACACGATATTTTTCACAATATCTTTACGGAAAGTTTGACTTCCATGCCTAGAGAGAGGCGAGAGTGGCCATTTTACGCCAGGACGGCATAGCGAGCGGAAAGTAACCACTTTTCTCCTTAGTGATCACTTTCCGCCCGCTAATGCCGCCCTGGCGTGAAATTGGTCACTTTCGCTCCTCTCTACAGGCATGGAAAGTCGAACTTTCCGTGGAGGTGTTGTGAAAAATAATTATTAATTTTTTTAATAATAATTAATTAGTCTCAATTAAATTATTTATTTTAAAAATTATTAATTGGTTTAATATAAATATAAATAATTTAATTGTTGCAGTTAAACGTGGTTAAAAAACAATTATGTTAATGTTATATATACAAGTAAATACGCAAACAACGCAGGTGTCTGAAAAATATTTAAAAGTGTCTAAAAAAATCTCTTTAAATGCTCAACCGTGTTGTAAACGTATAATGCGAATTTATATTTGTGTGATCAAGATACGTGATTAGAAGTATCTGTCAACTGCAAAACCGAGTTCTAAATGTTGCTATGAAATGTATCTCAGGATTTTCTGCTTTTTTACGGACTATGAGGTTAATCGCACGTTTCACACATTAATCTTAATGGCTTAGCGCCACATTTATTACTAATTGGGTAAAAAGAGGATATCTAAGTAAGCACAAGGTATATGATATATTATGATTACGAATTATTGAACATTGTATCATATTTTACCGTACTTTACTTTGTTTGATTATATTTTACCGTTTTTTTTTTAACGCGGGAAAATCTTCGACTACCGGGAGACCTGACTAAAGCCCGGCCCCCCAGTAGCCCTCTCCGAAGAAGGGGAAGACCCCTCGCCTTCCGGGGAGAGGGACGAGAAAACCCGGATTCTTACCGGCTAAAACCCCGCGAATGCCCTCACGGCGTGCTTTACCTTGCGGTGATGGGGGCAGCGGGAAACGCGATGATTCGTCCGCCACCCCCTCCACGCCGCGCCTGTAGCTAGGCGTCTGTCTCTGGAGGTATAATCCTCCCATGGCCCTTGGGCCATCGCCTGTCTAATCTCTTCGTGGCGGGTTGGGGGGCATTAACCCCAACCCGTTACTTCTCGTAACGGGGTCTTTTACAGCGGGCGCATGGTTACCCCGCCCATACGCCTGCACCCCGACCGATTGCCCACTAACGTGGAGCAACCAATTCGTCGCGGTTCCGATGCTTACCCCTTGGAGCAAGCGTCATCTTAGGGGAGGCAGGGGGGCAGAGCCACCCGGTAACTCCCATCGCCAAGAAGGGGGTTGAAGGGCGGGCCTTGAAAAACCCGCAGCCAAACCCACGACGTCCCTATCGGCGGATACCCGTCCCCGCTCCCCATTGTCATTTATCTTCCCCCTCCGGAGGGGAGGAGAAGGACTCGACAGGGGGGCGACGACCATGATTGCGCGGCCGCCGCGGCCCCTCGTCGTCACTACTACCGTCCACTCTCGCGCCTGTATTAGGGCGGGAGACGGCAGCGGAGGAGGAAGCGCCACCGCCCACGCGCCGCAACGCGGACGCGCCGGCGGAGACGACCGATATCTCCTAGCCCCCGCATTGCCGTCACCGCCACGGTGAAGATTTTTCCGCGGTTATGACGGCGGCGGCGATGGTGGTTGTCCACCGCCGCCGCTATCCTTACTGTCAAAGGAAGGGAGTCCGGCTACCCCCTCTCTGACGCGTTCCGCCGCCTTCTTCTGCGCCATGACTCGGCCACAGAAGGAGGTGAACGCTTTCAATTTGACCTCCCCCTGAACTCCGACCGCCGCCAAAAAGACGGCCGAGAGGGAGAGGTCATCCCCAATCTCCGCCCGGAGGACTCGGCGCTCCTCTTTCCACGCCGGGCAAAACTAGGGTATGTTGCGCCGAGTTTACTTGCTCCGGGCAGTGGTGGCAGCCGGTGGTGCGCTCCCTCCCAATACGACACAGGTACTCCCCGAAGGATCCATGTCCCGAGAGCACCTGCGCCACATGAAACGTAAGTCCGCGCCCCTTCTTGGCGATCCAGTCCCGCAGGACTGGCTGAACGGCCTCACGTATCCTCCTTCCAGAAACGAGCCGTGGATCGGACAGCTTGTCCTCCCACTCTTGAAGGAGAATCTCCCTCTTTTGCAGTTTTAGCGTAGCCCTCGCTCTGGGCAAAATGAGGCCTATTTTGGCCTCAAGTTCCTTTAGTCGCCGATAGGTCCTCGCCTGACTTATGGCGAGGAGGTCTATCGGCAGGATACCGGCGAGGACTGTCACCCCCACGTGCGAGACGGTCCGATATGCACGGGCTGCCCGGTTCACAATGTGTCTTTGGACAGCCACGAGCCGCCTGCAGAGGGTAGGGTTTTCCTCCACCCTCTCCGCCCATACAGGCGCTCCGTACAGTAGTACGGAGTGGACCGTCGTCGCGTAAAGGCGACGCACGTGCCCGCCGGGACCACCCAGATTCGGTAATAATCTGGTCAGGCCATTTGCCATTAGTCCGGGAGCCCACCGCAAATATTTGGGTCAATCGCTTTTATGACAAATTTTTACTCGAAACAGTGGGTAATATACCGCACAATACTAATTACTTGTCAGCCAAAATCGTACCCCCTGTTTTATATCTTATAACAAATTGTTAACAAATGAAATTGTGTGAGGTATTTCACTCATTGTTTTTATGAAAATTTTCTGTTTCAATAGATAAGGGGCAATAAAATGGACCTTCCAATACCCGGCTGCCACCCCTCATCCCCTGCTTTAAGGGTGGCTGCCGATGTCCAATATGACAATATTGATTAACTAACCTACACCTATCACTTTTATGGACGAATGACATATCGTTGGAAAGCTCGTCAAATTTCCTTCAAAATAATACCCGGTTGCCGCACCTTCGCCCCTGTGGAGGTGAGGCTGCCGAGGTTTTAACTCGCTGCGCAAGTCCATTCGAAAACGCAGTTTGAAATGCGCGCTCTAGACAAGGACAGAATGTCGTGCGTCTGTCGTTTATGTGTGCGTACGACTGATACATACCATATATATTTTTTAGCAATTGTCACTGCCTCGCGTGCTTACGTGCCAATTTTTCGATTTTGTCGTGGTTTCTCATTGCTGATCCTTCAAATATATTTGACGAAGAGAAAATTGATTCCGTTCAAGAATTTACATGTTTGATTTACAGCGTAAAAAATTGCACGTGTGTCAATGAAGCAAGATTTCGGATCTTTGACAAAACATATGCGAGTTCTAAGAACGAGAAAAAATTTGCGACTAAAGTAAAGAGTTTTGAATCGACTCTTATTCCGCCTTGTTGGAAGTCTCTTAAACAAAAAATGTTACGAACCATCTACATCAATTCAATGTGGCGCAATGCCACTGAATCTCGTTGCGTCAAATTACGTGATGAAGATTGTGGATGGTTTGTAGAGCATTCTGGCGACAACACTAGTTTGAAACCGACGTGGTTCATTGGGGACGCTTTACCTTCGACAATAACTGAAATTTTGCAGGAAGATGCCAGAAATGATTCAAGTTCAGAGGAAATGATGAACGATACTAACGAAACTGTAGAAAAGGAAACAACCGATGACCTTGATTTTGATGTAGATTTTTCGGGAGATGAGTCTGACGAATTTTACGATGAATAATTTTCCATCTTCTTGCAAATGTCTGTTATTGCTGTTTTTTTCATTCAAGTTTCACATGGCTATTGCAACACAGCATATTGTTAATTAATACTTCTTCTCAATGATTTTGTAATATATAAATAAATACTGTGGCGGTCCACGCCACCAACGATACATCCCTGCGCGATGCCTGCAATACCGGCAGTTTGCAGCAACGCCGCCAGGCGTCGCATCGCCGGGGCAGCTTCGCGAGTTCAAAGTTTTGCACCGACGAGTATAAAGGGAGACCCCCTACGGGCTCGAGCAATTCTTCCCGGCGCAAGTCGCCGATGGCATAGAGCGCCCAGACGCTGCAGCCTACCCAAGCGCTAGCCGCTCTCCCGGCGCAAGACGTCTGCTCACGGCGCCAGTCGCTTACACAGCGCGAGTCGCTTCCTCGGCGCTGGTCGCCTACACAGCGCTAGTCGCTCTCTCGGCGCCGGTCGCCGGTACAGCACGAGTCGTTTCCACGGCGCCGGTCGCCTACAGCGCGAGCCGCTTCCTCGGCGCGAGTCGCCTACGAGGCGCGAGTCACCCGGCCAACCACGGCGCTCGGTCGCCCATTACGGCGCGAGTCGCCGACAGCACCAGACGCTTCCTCGATGCGCGGTCAACTACAACGGCGCTAGTCGCCTACAAGGCGCAAGTCGCCCAGCCAATCGCGGCGCGCGGACGCCTGACACGAGGCGCGAGACGCCAGTCAATAACAGCACGTCGTCTCTACATCTCGCGCATACCACTTCACGATACCGCGTCCACGACACAACGCTCCGGTCCGTCACGCGATACAGATTTGCATCCTGGAACCTAGTACGCACGACAGTAAAGAGACGGAAGGCAAGACGCCGCGTTTGTTCGAAGAGCGATTCAAGAAGAAGGACGATGATCCTACTCGGCGACGGCGGACCCTGCCGATGCCTTTACAGGCCATCCCATACCGGAAAAGGAACGTGTCGCTATCTTCGTACTCGTCCAGAGTGACAAGCGTGCCTAGCACGACCGCGGCCGCAGACGCCGCTGAACTCGTCGAACCCCCGAAACGCGTAAAGGTCAACCCGGACAAGGGCCTGGGCCCCGGCAAAAAGAGGCAGACGCGCGACGCCTCTACGATCACCGATGCAGAGCCGACGATGAAGGACGATCCAGCTTCGGTCACCGTCGGAACTCAGACGGACCCAGAGGCCACGAAGGCCGACGCCTCAACACAAACGAAGCAACGGGGGGGACAGCAAGTCAAGGCGAGGCATCTCGATAGCAATCGAAAATGTAAATAAGGTGTAAATATAGTTTATAAACATATATTCTGTGTCTCCTACATTTCTTTTCCCTCCTTTGCGATTCACCTAACCTGGGCGATTCCTACACACGCACCCCAGTAGCTGACTAAGTTAGAATAAGCATAGCTGACTAAGGTAGATTACCGCTCTGGAGGAAAGTAGCAGCGCCCATAAATACATTAGTAAACTACGAAAAACCTTTATTTCTTCACCTCCACGAAAGCTTTGCTGAAATAACCCCTCACTTAAGAATCATACGGCAAAGTGAGTATAAATATGTCTAATTAGTTAAACATGACATCTATCCTTTGCCTACAACTAAATTTTTTAGGATCTTTTACTTATGATAATTACAGATCAATAACTGTGTTATTCATATTTACGTAAATGATTACACAGATGCGACTCGATAGTACAACTTTTCGAAAATTCTAATTACGCTTTCTTTACACTCCATAAAAGATTAAAAACAGACTTAAAACTCGACTCGATAATAAGATCATACATTTTGACTACTACACTCAATGAATGTCGAAATAGTTATTTGTGTAACAAGTGCGGGAAGTTGAGAATTGGACACGAGTGCGGAGTGGACGCACGAGCCGAAGGCGAGTGCGATCACCCGCACGAGTGTCCAATTCTCATCCCGCACGTGTTACACACCCTATTTTATATTACAAAGTGCGTGGCAAGTGGCTCATTATAGCGCGCGCGTCATCTGTGCGACGGATGGCCGATTCCATACACGAGTCAAAACAGTGCGGTAATGTTTACATTACCGCACAGTTTCGAAGAAACAGTGCGGTAATGTTACATTACCGCATTGTTTTGACTCGTGTATGGAATTGGCTATTTGTCACACAGATGGCGCGCGCGTAATGGGCCACTTTCCACGCACGTGTGATATAAAATATATAAACAACACAAATTCTTACCTACTCTGCCATTGTAACAATGTGACATTCAGGAGAATAATAACATTTGGAGAACAAATGGGAACACATCGCTTTGTCCTTGTCTAGAGCGCGCATTTCAAACTGCGTTTTCGAATGGACTCGCGCAGCGAGTTAAAACCTCGGCAGCCTCACCTCCACAGGGGCGAAGGTGCGGCAGCCGGGTATTATTTTGAAAGAAATTTGACGAGCTTTCTAACGATATGTCATTCGTCCATAAAAGTGATAGGTGTAGGTTAGTTAATCAATATTGTCATATTGGACATTGGCAGCCACCCTTAAAGCAGGGGATGAGGGGTGGCAGCCGGGTATTGGAAAGTCTATTTTATTGCCCCCTATCTATTAAAACAGAAAATTTTCATAAAAGCAATGAGTGAAGTACCTCAATTTTATTTGTTAACAATTTGTTATAAGATATAAAGCAGGGGGTACGACTTTGGCTGACAAGCAATTAGTATTGTGCGGTATATTACCCACTGTTTCGAGTAAAAATTTGTCATAAAAGCGATTGATCCAAATTTTTGCGGTGGGCTCCCGCACTACATGGCCTGGGCCCTGGGTATCGTGCGGGCAACGTGCTCGCCAAAACTGCCAGTGCCGCCCAGCCACACCCCCAGATACTTTATTTGGGTGGTGATCGGGACGCGGACACCCTCCCACGGGGGTGAAAGTAATAGGAGAAGGGGAGAAACGTAATGGCGGCAGGGCCAGGCAGGAATGGGGAGCCGAGGCAAGCCGAAGACTGTCGATCGGGCACGAAGTCGAAAAGAAAAGTGAAACTACTGAAGTCGTTGTTCTAATGTTGAGTGTGAATCGTGAAAATGGTCAAAAACGCGGATCCCGAGTGACGACCACAGATGACGACGTTCTTAATATTCCTCCGAGATAATCTCGCGTTTGCTGCTGCACATGTTCGTCCTCGTAGAGAGATACCCTGGCGAAGGACAGATTTCGTGAGACCGCTGCTACACGTGTTGTGAATTGTGAGATTCGCCCTCGTACGAGAGGTAACTTGGCGAAGGACAGATTTCGTGAGACCGCTGCTGCACGTGTTCTGAGATTTCTGAGATTCGCCTTCGTACGAGAGATAACCTTGCGAAGGACAGATTTCGCTGCTAATGCACGTGTTCGGACGAATGTACCCAACTGTCACAGGAAGGGAGGACACTTGTCTTATCCGTACAGTGGCACAACAGTGTGATGTCGAAGGTAAATTTTCTTTGTTAAATTTGCCTAATTTTTTATTTTTTTATTTTAATCTATAATTTTTAAAATTGGCAATATTTAACGTGTGAATGTAATTGTATCATTACAGACTGCTGCTGATATTAAAAATGATACATTTGCTCGAAGGAATTTGAGGAACAAGAGGAAATAACGGGAGGCCCACCAATAATGCACTGATAAGCGAGAAGACAAAATGTGCAGTCCAGTCGTAAAAAAAGTATGTGATATTATGTAACATACTCGCGTAGGTAGGATTCGACGATTATATGATTCCTTATGCGTGATGCGTGCACATATTTAGGTTATTTGCAAGATAATTTCTCCTTGTGTATTATTACATGTTATACATTATGTATGCTGGTGGGTGCTGGGAC